TTGCCCCCCCCCCCACCCCCCCCCACCCCACCACCACTACACGCACACGCGTGCGAGCACATAAACATCAACAACAAGGTTTGATCCTCCCAGCCTGCCTCACCCGGGTGCCCCTGGTGGCCAAAGTGGGGGTTGTGGTTGGTGCGCGTGGAATGCATGCCAAAGTGGACGATGCGGATCAGGTCTGAGAAGCGGCTGCCCCAGGGGCACGTGCCGCGGTCGGCGGGCACAAACAGGAAGTGGTCCCGCCCGCCGTGGCGGTCCCAGTAGGGCCACGTGGCGCGGATGTGGTCCAGCAGCAGCTGGGTGTGCTCGTCCCCGCCCGCCATGTTGCCTGCAGGCGGGCGTACGGGGAGGGAGAGAGCGGCACAGCCGGGCCAGCCGCTCAGATGGCGAATGGGATGGGACGGAAGGCCGCCAGGCAAGCGCTGCCAGGGCACTGACAGCAGCACACACACACGCACGGCACCCCGCCATGCTGTGCCCAGCACACACACCTGCCGCCCCCACCCCCCCCAGAACGTCCGCCTGCGTGCCCGCCCGCCTCCCACCCACCCGAGTAGGAGTAGAGGAAAGCGGGGATGTAGAAGAGGCTGGCCTCCGAGGGGTCCTCGGTGCGCACGGGGCTCTCCAAAAACTCCTCCATAAACTGCGGGGAGGGCAGGAGGCAGCAGGCGGAGGAGTGGTGGGCGACAGCCGCCCGCTGGGAGCATGGCGGCGCCAAGGAAGCTTCCCTCCGCCTCTTCGTGGCGGGCTCAGCCTCACCAACTCGTACGCAATGTAGTTCTTTCAGCGAGGGAGTGGGGAGGGAGGGAGGCGGCAGGGGGACAGGTAAGTAGCAGCAGGTAGACGCATGCGTGTGTGTGGGGGGCAGAGCAGTCGCTGGCGGCTGCCTGATGCAGTCGAGCATGGGCAGCGCTCCTCACCGGGTCGTGACCCGTCCAAGCAATGTGGTGATCATTGTCGTAAGCCCACTGCGTGTTGAGCTCGTACCTGCGCAGCCATACCCCAGCTGGTTGGCAGGTGCAGGAAGTGGCAGGCGGCGCAGCCGCCCGGCAAGGCTGTGGCGGTGGCGAGCGCTGGGAAGGGGGAGGGCAGCCGCCAGCGCAGCTCACATGTAAATCTTGAAATTGGCCGGGGACGGGTGGGAGTAGTTTGGTGGGTAGACCTTGCTCCGGGTGCACCCGATGCTGCACAGCAGGGCCAGCGGCAGCAGGGGAAGCGGGCTGGGGCCCGCACTCTGGGCCACAGCTCTCACCCGCCTGCCTACCGTCCTGCCTGCCAGCAAGCCATGCCAAGCGCTGTGCTCCTGCCCTGCCTGCAGCCCTCACCCGAAGTAAGGCGGCTGGCAGTGGCAGAAGTGGTCGATACACTTGCCGCGCCCTGCGCCCAGGCGGACAGGCAGCCAGCCGCGCTGTGGTGCCTGCGGCAGCTCAGCAGGCACCCACGCTCCCGCCTGCAGCAGCAGCAGGCAGCTGAGGCCAACCTTTGCAGCCCAGGAAGCACGCGTTGGACTCCAGCTCACAAGCCGCCCCCTGCAGGTGCCAGCCAGGCAGCCAACATCGACGGCTGTGGGGCAGCAAGGCGTGCGCCGCAGGCAGGCGCATGTGCAGCGATGGCCATAGGGCATTGCAAGCGGCATGCCTGCCTGCCTGCAGACATACCGAGTAGCCCCTGTAGCAGCGGCAGGTGCCCTCCCCATCCTGCTCCAGCTTGAATTTGATGCAGTACCTGTGCGGTGCAGCATGGGCCACGGTGGGTGCCCAGAAGGGCGGCTGACCCGGTCGGAGCAACCCACTTTTGCCTCAGCAGAGGGCAGTCAGGGGACAGGTGCGAGACGCCTGGCACTGCACCTGTGCAGCAGCCCATGCAAGTTCGGCACGTGCGAGGCGGGCCACCCACCCTCGCTTGTTGCACTGGTCCCGGCACTGCGACGCCGGCACAGTGAACATGTGCTCCCACAACAGGGCGGTGCTGCACGCGGTCAGTCAGGCAGGCAGGCGGGCGGGGGAGGTGGAGCGACAGGCATGCAGCTGCACACATGCACGTGTGCGCCGGCTCGTGACAGCCACCCTCAACGCGATGGTGGGCCCTGCACCTGCGGTTGGCCTCTGGCGCTCCTGCAGTGTAGTTGACGTAATACTTGGCCCCCTGCTCGTCCGCTTCCGGGACCAGAGAGTACTGCAATGAAACACGTGGTACCGGTGGCGGCGGGGGCAGCAAGCGGGGTGCCAGGCAGCCCGTTGGCACGCAACATTGGGCAGCGCTGCATCATGGCGCTGCATCCAGCGGCGCCGGGGGCGTGCCTGCTTGTCTGGCTCCACGCCCTCCCGCATGTAGCAGCCCCGGTTGCTTTGATAGTTCGAGGGAAGGCCTACACGCAGGGGAGCCGAGCACGGGGCCTCGTGAAGCTGGGGAGGCAGGGGGGCACTTGCGCCTGCGCAAGCGGGCACGGCGGGGCAGGAGCACCAAATAGAGCGCCATCCCGGCAGGGATGTAGCAGCACATCCCCTCACCCTCGCACACGGTATTGTTGGATGCGTCCTGCCTGCAAAAGTACGCTCTGCACCTCCGGAAGCACTCGCAGCTCTTGGCGGCAAGGGCACCGCAGTTGGCTGCAAGCAGGCAGGCAGGCAGGCAGGCAGGCGGTGGTGCCATTGGTGGAAACACAGCGGCAGGTGCCATGCAGCCATATGCAGGCACGCTGGCGCAGCGATTCATGCAGTGGAGGTCCAACGCGTCCAACACGTCCAACGCATGCTGGCAGCGCGCAGCTGGCAAACATGGCAGCAGGCAGCGGCATGGCGCGGGTGCGGCGCACGCACGGTGTGATTCTGGGAACTGGCGGCAGGGTGCTAGGAAGTCGATTTCGCACCCGTCGCCCAGCCTACCAAAGGGGCACCTGCAGTGCTGGGCATGGGCAGAGGTCTTGACTCAACTGGTACAGCTGCCCGACTGAGGACAGAGGCGGGCTCCTGCCCACTACCGCTGCCGCCACAGCTGCCACAGGGCAATCCTGGTGGTTCCGTTGCTCATTGCAAGCGGCAAGGACCTGCCTGCAATGCCCATCGTCGCCGCAGTTACTGCAGACAGCGTTTTGCAGCGCAAGTCAGGGACGGTGTTGTCCGAGAGCCCAAGGCGACACCCGCGATCGATCGAATTAACACTCACCCATGCTTGGTGCACTCAGCGTGGCATTTGCCAGGGCCCGGCTCCTTGCGCTCCTCCTCGGCGGAGGCGCCACTCAGCAGCAGGGCCTGAAGAAGCAGAGCACCCCAAAGGGGCCTCATGGCGCGAGGGACGCACATGCGATGGGGGGGAGGCATGCAGGAAGGGTTCAAGTCCTCCCGCCAGCTGGCGCCAGCTAGGTGACGGCAAGCCATAAGCCGCAGCTCACGCTGCCGTTCACTGCATGTGTTTATGTGAAGCGCCATTCACATGAAATCTTGTGCTGAATCCCACAGCAGCAGCAGCAGCAAGGGGCTTGCCAAAGCAGTAGCTGGGGAGCCGCCGCCGGCGGTTTCAGCACCGCGGGCCAAGAGTCAGGTGCAATCTCATCAGGAAAGAATCTCGCAATCGTTCAGGAAAAACAGGGTAAATTTTGAGCGGCGTGCTGCGGTGCGCTGTGAGGCACCGGAACAGCAGCAGCCTGTCGCCACTCGCCACCGGCTGCAGCTTGCACGCCCCCTCACTTCTGCCGCTTGTAGATCTTCTTGAGCAGCATCGTGAACACGCCCTGCGGAGGCAGCAGGGCAGACAGGGCGCACGTGTGGGTGGCGGCAGGCCAGGCCACATGCCACTGCTGGAGGCCCCAACAGCAAGGCTCAAGCCGCATCCGCCAGGCCGTCAGCCCAGCAGCCCAGCAGCGCCCAGCAGCGCCCAGCAGCGCCCAGCCACACCAGCCCACCTGTGGCAGCAGGTCCTGCCCCTCGATCGTTTTCACAAGCTGGTCGTGGCTGTCCTGCTCGTACTTCCTGCAGGCAAGGGCACGGAGAGCAGGCGACAGCAAAGGCATCAATCAAGTGACACAAGTGTGGCCTGAACAGAGCACAGCGACCTGGCACCACAACAAGCCGCTGCACAGCCGGCCCCTCGCCCCCCCGGGAAGCCAGCAGCGGCGGCTGGCTGGCAACTCACTTGAACAGGCCCTCCAGGTCCAGCTGGCGGTACACCTCCTTCACCCGCTGTACCGCCGCCTCCTCATCCTTGCCGTAGCTCTCCTGCACCCGCCACCGCACAGCTTGGTTCTGAGGCGGGCCCGGCACCATGCATCCACACACGTGCACATGCTTGGGGGCGCAGTTGCAACAGCCGGCTGGCTGCGGGCAGGCTGTGTTGGGAAAAGGCCCCACCCGCCACCCACCTCAATGGCCGCCTTCTGCTCCTCGCTGGCCCGCGTCAGCGCCTGCACCACCAGCCAGGAGCACTTGTTGTCCTGGATGTCGGTGCCGATCTTGCCGATGACCTCGGGGTCGCCAAAGCAGTCCAGGTAGTCATCCTGGATCTGCGGCAGGCAGGCACACACACATAAGCTGGCGCCGTGTGTGTGTGTGTGTGTGTGTGCGCGCGCGCGCGCGAGGGTGCATGCAGGTTGGGAGAAGCCGGAGGCTCGAGCGTGCGTGCAGAAGGCAGGAGTGCCCGAGTGGGGTGCGCGGCGCATGGGGGGCAGTGATGCAGCAGGTACGGGCGGTACAGGAGGTCGCACCTGGAAGTACCGCCCCATCTGCAAGCAAATGTCCTCCGCCAGCTTGTAGGCAGCGGGGTCGCTGCGGGGTAGGGCAGGGAGGGACAGGGCCGCACAGGCTGAGTGCAGACACAGCAAGGTGAGAGACCGAGATGGTGCACGCACACTGCGGGCTAGGAAAAACGAGCTCCCCGCCGCTGGCAGGCTGCTACCCGGCAGCGGCACCGGCAGCGGCACCGGCAGCGGCTGTGCCATTGGCGAGCGCGGCGGGGCGCTCACGTGATGCCCGCCAGGCGCAGGCCGCATGCCACGGGCAGGTAGAAGGTGTAGAAGGCTGTCTTGTAGGTGACGATGCGCAGGTAGGTGTCCAAGGTGTAGCGCGACAGGTCCACCTGGCGCCAGCAGGGCACGGCGTGTCGCACAGCGTGAGTGCAGCATGAGAACAGCATGAGCACGAGCCGCAGAGGCTAGCCGCCACCAGCGTGGGGATGGAGCCAGCTCGCGAGCCGGCCCGACCAATCCTGTGCCTGGGGGGCGGGCCCCCTCCCTGCCGCCGCAAACCCCCTCGCGCTCACCGTGCCGATGGGCGCGGTGGTTGTGTCCAGCAGCTGGCCGTGTGCCGTCTTGAAGGTCACCTCGTGGAACAGCTCCAGCAGGTGCACGTAGCAGGGCAGCGCGCTGCGCGGGGTGGGGTGGGCGGGTGGGGTGGGGTGGTGTGGGGCAGGGCAGGCATGTGCGAGGGGTGGATGCGGGTGGCCCTGCCCCGGGCTCACCCAAAGTGCTTCTTGAGGATGCGGAAGATGCAGGCCTCCAGGATGATGCCGTCGTTGATGGCCACCATGCCCACCTCGGGCCGGCGGTACCAGCAGGGCTGCCCGCGCCGCGTGATGCTGCTGTCCATGATGTCGTCGGCCACCAGGAAGTAAGCCTGGGGGGCGGGCAGGCAGGCAGGGGGGGAGCAGGCAGCGAGGCTCTCGGCACATCGAGGATATGCACAGAGGGGCGCCGAGGCGGGCCTCAGCGACAGCCGGGCTTTATCGCCGGCAAGCAGTAAGCTTCCGGAGCTGCCTGGCACACTCCGCCGCCACACCCAGCTGCCCACAGCCCACCAGCGCGGCTGCGCCCTGCCAGCCACCCATGCCGGCACGCAGCGCCGCCCTTGCGGTACCGCCCACCCACCTGCAGGAACTCGATGCACCAGCCCAGGGCGTTGGCCCGGAACTCGTCCTCGGCGCTGGGCGCAGCCCCCTTGGCCTCAGCCAGGGACTGCACCACATCCAGCACCGCCATGCCGCGGTTGAGCTTGCCCAGCGGCACATTGTAGTCCATCATCTGGCGGGGAGGCAGGGCAAGGTGGGGTGGACAGGGGGAAGGGTTGGCAGGTCAGCGGCGAGGGAGTGCGAGGATGACGGCGGAGGAGGTGGGGCCGTGGCTCCCTCCCGGCCCATGCAATGAGCAGGCCAGCCAGCAGGAGGAGGGCAGCGAGTGAAGAGACTCAATCGTTGACTGAAGTGACCCATTCGTCCTGCAGCGGCAGGCAGGGCGCTCAGCCGCCACCCACCTCCTTGACCCACTGCTTCGACGCCTCGGGCTGGCCCGCCAGCAGCTCATCGTTCACAATCTCATCCCGCAGCTGCTCGAAGACCTTGAGGAACTCCTGCAGGAGGGAGGAAGGCATAGCCGGCTTGACCACTAAGCGGGATCGAGTAGCGGCGGCGGTTGCGGCGGCGGGCGAGGCGGCAGCACCCGCCGCTCTCTGCTCCAGCGCCCAGCACCGTGCATGCTCCCCCGCGCCCAATCCCAGGGTCCACACAGTCCACATAAAACCAGGGAGGGGGAGCAGGCGGCTGAAGCGCCCAGGCGGCTGAGCAGTCGATGGCAATCGGCGTGGCCGCGCCATCAGGCCCCGCCGCACGCTTCGACTGTCTCCATCGAGCGTGAATTGTCGATTTGGCATTGCCCCGCACCTTCTTGGCCTCGTCTTTGTCCAGCTTCTGCACCTTGGCTGCAGGCTCGGCGGCGGTCGCCATGGCCGCTGCTGGCGATCAATTGGGCTTGGGGAGGGATCTAGCGAAGAAGGAGAAGGGCCAGAACCGGCATGCCGCGGCTGCAGCGTGGGTGCCAGCCTGTCTTCGAGGATGATCAAAGCCCGTAAACTCCACCGCCTACGCCTCCACTCCCTCGCTTTACTATGCAGCTGTCCGCCCTCTCACGCTCAGGCAGCCTGCTCTCTCGGCCTCTGCGCCCGGGGCTCTCCACCCACCAACGCGTCCCCAGGCAGCAGCTTCGAGCCCACTCGTTCCTCAAAATCTTCAAGCGCAGCGATCAGGTCAGCTTCTAGGGCCAGCTGCCAGGAGGGGCTGTGGTGCACACGCCAGAAAGGCAACATGGCGGCCCGCCTCGCCGCCGCCGCCACCACCCACCAGTGGGCAGAGCAAGCACGGGTGCAGGCAGCCACGCGTGCATGCTGGACCATGGCGGCAGCGGCCTGCCTGCTGTCAGCAGCAGCACTGCTGGTGGGCACGGCCGCCGCCTGGCCCTGCCTGGCGGGGTGCGCTGCCGGCTCTTCCGGAAGACGCCGGGCAGGACTTCGCATGTTGTTGGCCTCCAGCCAACTGGTCTGCCTGTTTCTGCTGCCCCGCAACGCAGGCCGCCACCATGGGCGCCAGCACCAGCAGGGCGGAGGAGTGGCAGGCGGCCAGCGCCGACACGCCGCGCCGCATCAGCAAGAGCGGGTACGACATCACGCCGCTGACCCCCGAGCAGCGCGAGGCGGCGGCGGCGCCGCTCACCGACTTCCAGCGTGCTGTCACCCTCAAGGCACGTGGGCGGCCTGGGCTGCGGGGCCGGTGGCAGGCTGCTTCTGCTGAGTTTCGCTGGTGGCGCCCGGCAGCTAGTGGCTGCACCACGCTGCGGTGGAAGTTGCAGAGGCATCGGTCGGTTGCCTGTCCACACAGCCTTTTGCCTCTCGCGGCAGCAGCTGATAGGCGCCCGCGCGTGGTGCAGGCGGGCACGGAGCGGGCCTTCACGGGGACCACGGTGGATGGCAGCCCGCACGACAACAAGCGCAAGGTGAGTCAGCGCCACGTCAGCATCCCGGCCTGTGCGAGTGGGTCGGCGCGGGGCAGGCCTGGCAGGATGCATGGCCGGGCAGCAAGCGTGCAGGTACGGTGCAGGCGCGGCGCGGCCCCATGTTCCCAGCAAGCCCATGCGCGCCGCATGCGCAGGGCGTGTACGTGTCTGCGGTGGGGCGCCTGCCGCTGTTCAGCTCCGAGGCCAAGTACGACAGCGGCCCCGGCTGGCCCTCCTTTTTCGCCCCCATTGACCCCGAACACGTGGGGGGAGATCAAGTGCGCTGCGTTGCGCTGCGCTGCCCGGCTGCTGTGCAACACCAGCGTCGGGATTTTGCAGGATGGGAGGCTGGCAGAGCCGAGCACAGACACCAGCACGCGGCGGGCACCAGGGTGCCACGGCGTATGGTTGGTGGCTGCTGCCGCTGACGCAGGGTCCTGCATCCCCCCCCACACACTCTCGAGCCTGCAGGACACCTCCATCCCCTTCATGCCGCGGGTGGAGGTGGTGGATGCGCGCAGCGGCGCCCACCTGGGCCACGTGTTTGACGGTGAGGGCGGGGAGGGGCGGCGCTGGCGGCTGCCGCCGCGCAGGGCTCCCGTGCTGTCTGCCACCGACAGCCAGCTGGCAGGGAGAGGGTGTGCAATGGACGGCAGGCAGAAGGAGCGCAAGCAGGCAGGTGTGTGGTGCTGACAGGCCGCTCTGCTCTGCGCCTTTCCCACATCCACCTGCAGACGGCCCGCGCCCCACCGGCAAGCGGTACTGCATGAATGCGGCGGCGCTGCGCTTCATCCCCGAGGGAGAGCCAATGCCTGAGGAGTCGCAGCCGGTGAAGCAGTAGGAGGGGAGCGCTGCCCCTGTGCCCTCCTCCCTTGTGTGCGTCCCACAAGCCTGTAACCTACCCTCAAAAGGGGCAGAGACTGCCTTGCTTACAGAGGTCAGCAGCAGTGAGTGCAAGAAAAGAGAAAGGACAGGACCCGACGAGCAAGGGGAGTAGATACGACAGTGTAGTGAGAGGGTGAAGACGGTACTGGAGAGCAGGTACCCCTGGCAGGGATGCGCTCACTATGCGTCGTGTCGCAGGCCGGGCTCTGCTTCCAACAAGCAACAGCACCTGCTCTGCAAAAGCGCATTGCTAGAGGCGACGCGTCGCATCTTCACGCCGTCTTGCCGCCTGCCGCGCCGCCTGTGGTGGCTCCGCCGGCGGCCGCCCCGCCGTTCCCGCCGATCCTCGTGGCCTGGCCGATGGCAGCGGCTCTGTTGGCAGCAGCTGCTGCGCCACCAGCACCCTGGGCGGTGTTGGCAGCACCCGCTGTGCCTGCAGCAACCTGGGCTGCGCCACCAGCGGCGCCTGTGCCTGCAGCGGCTGCGCCTGCGGTGCCTGCGCCGTGGCCTGCGCCGCCGGCAGCAGAACCACCGGCGGCCTTGCTGCCAGCGGCTGCTGCTGCAGCACCAGCCCCCTGAGCTGCGCCGCCGGCTGCGCCGCCAGCCCCGGCCTCCTCTTTCTTGTCGCCCGCTGCGCCGCCGCCCGCCTCCTCCTGCTTCTCTCCCTCCTTGCCGTCCTTGAGGTCTGCGGTGCTGCCCTGCGCCTTGGACGAGGCCGCCCACCCGCTCTGCCCCCACCACGGCAGCTTGCCCTTCTTCCCTGCACTCCCCAGGGGGTGGGCATAGCAAAGGCAAGGCAGCCAATCAGCACAGCCAATCAGCGGGCGGCCGGCAGCCTGCTGCCACGCAACCCCAGCAGCCGCTGCGCTGCCTGCCGGGGGTGGGGGTGCCCACCCTGCATGCAAGGCAAGTGCCACGCACATGCGCACCGCGGCTGCCCCCTCCCCACCCCCCCGCCCCCTGCCCCGCACCCACCCGCGCTGTACGCGTCCTGCACGCAGTCCTGGAAGATACCCTCCAGCCGCTCCTCGCTGCGGCACAGGCCCGCGCGTGGTTCTCCGAGAAGGCCAGGCACACATTGTCCTTGTTGTTCTGCGGGGGGGGGGCAAGTGTGTGTGTGTGTGTGTGTGTGTGTGTGTGCGCGCGTGTGTGTGTGTGTGTCACACAGGCAGGGAGTGGCAAGGGAGGGGCACGGGGCCGAGCGCAGGACGCGCCCACAGGGCAGGGCTGCGGCCGGGGCCGGCGGTCACATCATTACGGCAGCTGCATCCAACATCCAACGCACGCGCGCGCGCACAGCGTGCCCCCCACCCCCCACCCCCCACCCGCACCTGCTGCGTGCACTTCCACTCTGTGTCGCAGCACAGCCGCCGCTGGTTGTCGTACACAATGTCCAGCCCCACCAGCCACGCGCCCACAGCCACATCCTCATTCGCATACCGGTGCAGGATGGCCTCGTTCTGCGGCAGGGCGGGACAGGCGGGACAGGTGAGGCAGGCGAGGCAGGAGGGCAGGCGCAGGCGTAGGCTGCTGCTGCTGCGGCGCTGGCGGTGGGGAGCGGGTTGCCGGTGATGCTGGCGGTTGTGTGTGGGGGGTGCCGCGGAGCGGCCAGGCAAGCAGGCGCTGGGCAGAGGCGAGGGCCGGAGGCGGGCAGGCGGGCGGCGGAGGCGGGCGCCCCACCTGTGCGATGTAGCGGGCCACAGGGCGCGACATGCCGTATATCTGGCCTGTATGCGGGAGGGGGCGGCACGGCGGCACGTCAGCTCTGACGGAGGCAGGCAGATGGGGCCGAGCCGCCTCGGGGCCGCGGGGCAACGCTGCGCTGCGCTGCGCCTGCGCGCCTCCCTGCTTGCCCCGGCATCCCCTTGCTTTCATGCATGCACACTGGGGCGCCAGCCCAGCCCCTCCACCTGCGCCTCTGAACGTCCTCCCGCCCACCCACACCCACACCCACCCACCCACTCACACAAACACGCGCGCGCCCTGCACCCCGCCCCCGCTGCTCACCGCTGGCGTGCCGCATGTAGTTGACTTTGTTCTCCTTGCCGGCCGGGTCCCCAAACCTCCAGAACTCCGGTTCGTACCACTTCCACCGCTTGTCCGTCAGCACCTCCCCGCTCTTCATGCAGCCCTGCACGCACGCGCGGGGTCAGGCGCAGGGGCAGGGGCAGGCGGCGGATTGGAGGAGCGCCAGGCGCAGCATGCGGGCTGCGTTTCGGGCTCCCCGCAGGCGGGGCGGGCTGGTGGCGTGGGTGGCGGCGGCGGGGCCTTGGCTGCTGCTGGGCGGGCGGCTGGGCGGCGCACCAGGTAGAGGTTGCCCTGCTGGCGCCGCTCCCGCAGGTAGTCTGACAGCGCTTGCACATTGACGGCTGCGGGGTGGGTGGGTGTGGGGTGGGGGCACGGGCAGGCGCTCGTGAGCGACAGGCGGCGGCATGCGTGCGGGTGCGGGTGCGTTCAGCGGCAGGGGGGTTTGATGGCAGCAGTCGGCGCAGAGGTGGTGGGCGCGGCGCGCATCGCGCTCCACACGCGCTCCCACACCCACCCCGCAGGCCGGCCTCGCCCAAGCCCGCATATCCACTCAAGCCCCCGCCTGCCACCTCCCTCCCGCCTCCCACTCCGCCGCGACCGCCGAGCCCCGCTCCCCGCACTCTCAACCGTCGTCTCCGCGCACCCGCAGGCGCAGGCGCCCCCTCCCTCCCCTCGCTCACCCACGTCGTCGTCAATTTTGAAGTAGAAGTCAGCGTGCACGGTGGAGGACATCTGGGAGAAGAGGCGCGCGGTCTTGCGGGACAGCTCCCCGTACTCGTCCTGCACCGCCAGCCGCTCCATGTCGCCGTGCTGCCGCGCCTCCTCCGCCAGCTCAGCCTCCACCGCGTCCCCGCGCTGCTGCGAGTAGCCCACAAAGAAGCGGATGCGCACACCCAGCTCCCGTTCCAGCTCGCCCAGCCGCCCAGACGGCACCCAGGTCTTGCGCAGCATGTCGCGACGCGCGCGCGACGTCAGGCCCTGCGCGCAGCACAAGGCGCGGCGCGGCGCGGGCGGGGTCGGCACGTGGGGTGGGCACTAGCGGGCCACAGACCGCCAGCAAATGCCGCCCCACCGCATGCCGCATGCTTGCACCACGCTCCGGCCCCGCCCGAGCACCTCT